CCTTGAGACTCCACAATAGCTATATTGGAATCCACTTGGACATTTGGGCTAGGGACAGACATTACACACAAACCGGTTTAAGTGATCAGAACCTGGTTTATACCTGTAACAGAACAGATGTTCAGTGCACATAAACCAGTCTGAAAATGGCTGAAACCTGTTTGAGATAAACCTGGTGCCCTCACTCGGGCAATATGTATTTCCCTACCGGCTTTGTCATCTTTTTTGGATTCACAATCCTAAACATTTACTAATAAAAAAAGTCAATCAGACCTAACTGATTTGGATCAAACCAGTTTATGCAATGTCTGTCCCAGAACCCTTGTTGGTTTAAGATAAACCAGACACCCCCAGCATCCCAGCATGTTCTCTGAACCAGGCGGAGCTCTCTGCTCCACAGCAGAGCTGGCCCCTCCCTCTACTCCCTAGCCAGAGCTCCTGCAGTGACTTGCAGGCACAGAGCAAATGTCTGGCTTTTCCCTGCTAAACAGGGTTTATTCCCCCCTCCCCTCTGTCTTACACAGACACCTCAGCATTAGCTAGCAGACCACACACTGGCTACGGTTCCTGCTGTGGGAGAGGACAGAGGCAGACAGGCTTTTTGGAGCTAATCAACAGGTAGCTTAATGTCCTTCCTTGGAAGAGCTGTTTAAAAAGAGCTCCATTAGTTAATGGAGAGAGGCTTTGTTTTCTTAATGGGTTGATTAACATTGAGTTAGGGGTGATAAACATTCCCTGCTGGGTTGTTTAGGAGGTGGGGGAATAATCAGAGCAGGGCCTGACCAGAACCCCCTCAGCTCAGCCCTGTGGAAGTAAAAGGAGGGCTGCTCTAGAACCCCCCAGCTTCTAGCCTGAGCCACTGCAGGCATGTGCCTGCATTTCTGGGATGTCTGTCTGGTTACAAAACTGATTTAGCCTATGCTGGTTAGACTAACCTGCAAAGATTGAATCAACTCAGGCTCAGGCTTTTTGAATGTCTGTCCCTAGCCTTGGACTCAGCTTGCTGCCTCCATTCCCAAGACACCCTGCTCTGGTTTTCTGCACAGCCCTCACCACCCCCCTGCCCAGATGGGGGAGGACAGGCTTTTTGTGACCACTAGAAGTGGCCCTAAGGCCCACCAGCTGCTTCCATCCAGGCCAGCCCTACAGCCCAACAACATTTGCTTAGCACCAAGTGTGCCCAGAGTCAGGTGAAGGCAGGGTACTGTGTTCTCTGCTCTGTCATGTCTCCTCTGACTCTGGTAGGGCAGTGACAGGAAGTTTTGATAAAGGCAAAGCCAGATCAGACTTTCTGGTATAATTGCAAGAAACAGGCCCAGACCTGGAGTTGTCGTCTTCTTCTCCCCCCACCCTCCAAAAAAAAAGTCTTGGTATCCTTGGACATAGGGGAGCTTAAACTAGAGCCAATGTCTGGGGATGTCTCCCATCACATACTCAGGAAGTGAGCAAAAAACAGTGAGGGAGCTGGAAAAAACTTCCCCACCTTGAGTTCCTGTGAATATGTGAAGGAGGGTGGGTAGTGGATGGCTGAATAGGCCCCATGTCAGGAACCAGCCAAGCTCCTTTTTTGCCCTGGATCAACCTTTCCTGGAACAGAACCTCAGAGCTATCTGTCGGTGTTACATGCCTGATGCTTCATGAGGTAGAGCTGTGTTCATCCGTGTCTTATAGATGGGGAAACTGAGGCACAGGGTAGTTTGGCAGTTTACCCAAGGCCACACAGGAGGTCTTAATCAGAGCACCCAGAGAATATCACCTAGTCCTGCATCCCAATCCAGAGGCTTCCTGCAGTGTATAATAAGTGGGTAGGATACTGTTAAATAGATGGGGGAGCTAGCAAAAGGGCTTTTTTCCCTTGTACAGAAGCCACCAGTATCTGACAGCAGCAGTGTTTATATGGCCAGGCCTTGTATACAACATACACAGCTACTGGGACACAGCTGTGTCTGTGTGGTCTCCTCCTCTTCCTAACATGCAGACAGCAGAGCATAGCACCCCATGTCCCTTCTACCCAGTGCTGGTGCCAGTATGCTCACTTGGTGGCCTCCTCTGTCTCATGCCTTCCCTGCTCCTCAAGCACCTGGCCCCTTTAGTCACTGATGCTGTCCTTACAGTAACTCGGCTCTTTCTCCCCTTCAGTAGCTGTCCCAGAAGCTGTTGCTGAGTGTCCCCAAATAGGATTAGGCAAGTTGCAAAACTCCCAGGTTGTCTTTGACACTGAAAAATATAAGCAAGTATTTCTTCAGGGGTAGAAGGCTGAGATTTCTTCCACATCCAAGAAAGCCTCTTTTCCTTCCCTTGCTTTCCTACCCATCCCTGCCCAATCTTGGGCATATTGCTGAGGCAGTTAGCCTGCATCTGATTTTATCTTGTTCTAACAGCAACTTAATTGAAAGCAAATCTAGCTGACAGGAACATGACAGATTTGATAGAGCAGACTGGATTAAATATCCCTTCATCCTGCCATTGAATTGCAGCCATCTCTGGGGTAGAGTGTAGCATCTGTTGTAACGGAGCACAGCAATGCTACACAGTACAATGGTTCATTGCAGGAACTAAAAGAAACTATTGAAACAGGTTGAAAACATCTTTCTCCACAAGTAGTTCTCCATGGTTCCCTTTAAAAGATACCTCAAAGGAGATTCTGTAGGTGTCTGTCCTGGGTCCTGTGCTAGTCAATATTTTTCATTAATGATTCAGATAAGACCGATTTCTCTGATCAAATTTGCTGTTGCCACCAAGCTGGGGGGTGGTTAAAATTACTTGGGTGACTCCAAATGATCTTGACAAGTTGGATTGATGGCCTGAAAATCAGCAGGATGAAATGCAGTGGAGACATGTGCAAAGTGCTGCCTCTGAAGAAGGAGAAATCAAAACACACAAATATAAAATAGGGACTATGTGGCAAAGCACCCGCGCTGCAGCAAAGGATCTGGGAGTTAGGATAGATCACAGACTGGCTGGAGTTGAAAATCTGAAGGTGTTGCAAAAAAAGGCAGATCTTATGCTGGGATACATTAGCAGGAGTGTTGTTTGTAAAACATGGGAGGCAAATACTCTGGTCTAGTCAGCACTGATGGGTCTTATCTGGAGTGGTGTTTGGTTTTGAGCACTCTGCTTTGACAAAGATGTAGACAAATTGGATGGAGTCCAGAGAAGAGGAACAAGGAGGATAAGAGGTTTAGAAAACATGACCTGTGAGGAAGGGTTGAAAGAACTAGTTTTGTTTAGTCTAAAAAAAAAGAGAGACTGAGGGAAGTCACGCTAATAGTCCTCTAATGCAGAAAAGGCTGTTAAAGGGAACAAAGTTCAGTTGTTCTCCATGGCCACTGGGGAAGGGCAAGAAGAAAGTAGCTTAGTTTTCAGCAAAGACCATTTAAATTTGATATTAGGCAAGCCTTTTGAAGAATTAAGATGGTGAAGCACTTTGGAACAAGCGGCCTAGGGAGAGGAGGGAATCTCCTTCACCGGAGGTTTAAAAAGAGGCTGGATCAACATTTGTCAGGGATGGTCTGGGTGCAGGGGGCTGAATTAGATGATCTACTGAGATCGTTTCCGGCCCAACACTTTTGGGATTCTATGAAATAGTCTATGGTGCATTAAAGATGCAGAATATAAATCTCCCAATCAGAATCTGGCTGAGATGTCTACATTAACATTGCAATGCTGGGTGCAAAATGCTGCGGGGTTTGGAGAGACCCAAATTTGACATTGCCTCCCTGGAAAAGATACTCCTGGGCAGCACCACTGAGCAATAACTGCACAAGAAGCAGGGATGATTAGCTGTTGCACAGCTGAGAGCGCACAGTGCACTGGTAGATGATACTGCAGCCTCATGTCTAGCAAACGGCAAGGAACAGGCAGACCTCTGGTCCATCACCCTGCTGTTTCTTGGGAGGAGATCCCAGCTTTTTCTGCAGGGGAAACCCAGGAATATTAATAGCTATCATGACTAACCTCCCAGTCCGGCCTCTTCTTAAATGTTTGCTCTGCTCTCATCACCTCTTCTGCTGCATAAGCCTTTTGGAGAAGAAACTGTTCTTGTTGGATCTCAGTTGATCTTTCACAACAGAGAAAGAAAGATAAAAGGTTTAGTTTAGTGAAGCATCTGCAAGGTCAGCTGCTTTTCAAACCCTCCTGGATTTGAAATATGGTGGAATGGAGCTTTCGGGTAAGAGAGAGAAATGTGCATGGTAGTTGATCTGTTTGTCCATCTGCCAGTTGCCTTGTATACCTGTCTCATGTCTCTGCAAGATCGCTGTCATTCCAGTACCTGGCAGGTTTCCAGTACCTCTTGCTTTGGCTGGATTGGAAGCACTGAGCCAGCAGCCCAGCGTTCAAGCACTTTCTAATCATGCTGGGCCCCCAGAATGCAGAGGTGTGAAGGAAAGGAAAAATAAAGACTCAGCGCAGGAAATTACCTGATGCTTTAGATCCTCAATAAAAGCCCCTTTCAAGTTTATCTTTGATCCTACCTCTGCTCATCCCTGATCCTGAATCAGCTGGAAGTTATAACTTCTCTCTAATCACTTGTCTTAGGCCTGAAAGAGCCTTTCCCCAGGCCCCTTTCCCTAGAACTCTGAGGCTCCCGATGGGTTCTGCAGCCTGGCATCTCCCTGGGGAAGTGTAACCTCAGAGCCCTGACTCAGCCTGCTGAGATCCATCTCCACACCTCACATATGCTCCCTGCCCCGTCTTCCTACCCCTTGAACCTTGACCTGAAGATGTTTGTGTACCCCCTTTACTCTCTGACCCCTTGTTTGATTCCTCAGGGTGTTTAAACTGCAGCAAAGTGATGGAGCTGACGGCGCGTCTCAACACCCTGGAAGCTAAGGTCAGCACCTACCTGGTTTTGCTCAGCTCTCAGACTTGGCCCCTACTTCCTCGGGGTGGGGGAGCGGCACAGGGCCTAGGATCAGGGGAAGCAAATGGATCCCTCAGTGTTGTCTGTCCTTGGGGTCAAGGGTACAGCACCGTTGGCTATTTGTACAAGCTAATAATGCTTTACCCCTGAGTCACTGGGAAATGTCCCTGCCTTGTTTCCCCTTGGCCAGGGAGTCAGGGACCCATGTAGCAGCATTGGGTATGTCAGGGGCACTTCTGGCAACTCTCTCTCACTCGCAGATGGCGTTGCTGTCAGCAGCTGAGCCGGCAACCTCCCCAGCACCCAACAAACACCTCTTAACCAAAGGGCCTGCCCATTCAGACTCCATCCAGCTCTGGGGGTCTCCAGCCACCCACGGGAGCCCAGGGGATGAAGGCGTGAGAGGTAAGCAATTGTGGAGGGAGAGGGGGTGTGAGGCAACAAGGTGAGGACTACAGGTAGGAAGCCATGCCAAGAGCATGAACATGCATTTTCTATCTAGGCAAAGCCCCTCTTTGCCCCTACAGAAAGCCACTCTCTGGTTTCTGGATATGCACCCCTGCCATCAGGGCCCTGCAGCACTCTGCCCTTGCAATGGAATGGAGACCCTGGCATTGCTCTGCATGCTCTGACCAGGGCATTTAGATGGTAGTGTAAATGGAGTGGTAGGGATCATTTTAAGGAATCACCTGGCATTTTTCTACAACTCCTTAATCTCAGGCATTTCAGTTAACATTGCACGGCTGATCTGCAGCTTCTTTCAAGGTTGAACCCTGCAGGTGTTTAACAGGTCAGGGCTTTCCCATTAGTTATAGACCTGACCCTACAAAATGTACCCAAGCGAAGCTCCCAGGTTTGTCTGACTAAGAAGAACAGGATTGGGCCCTTGATGCTTCTGGGGGTTGGGTCTCAGAGTCCTGTCTTTAATGGGATGATTGTGGGGGAGGAGAGGGTTGGATTGCCCTAAAGCCCCAAACTCTTCTCCCCACTAGCATACTGCTCTACAGCTCCTCCTCCCACTTGCCTTTTAAGCTTAACTTTTCTTTTTCTTCTAGAGCCTCTCAGCTCATTCAAGAGCAAGCTCCTTCCCTGTTAGTTTTGACCCCCTAAGAAAATCACAACTCAGGTTGATACATTCCACCTCCCAAACACTCCAGTCTGTTCTAGCCACATGTGACATTCCTCCTGGCTTTGGTTGCTGCAGGCTGTTAAACAGCTGCTATGTTCTACCCCAGAGTCAGCTGCAGTTCAGCGGTGTTGCATTAACAAGGCACTTTACGGTGAAAGAATAGAAAATGCACAGCAATTCATTAATCAATTCTTACTATTCCTATTATTGTAGTGTTAGAGTGATTTACAATAACATCTATAAGAGCCTCCATCAAAGACTGGGAGCCTGTTGTGTTAGCTGTTTGCATATAAAAGCCAGTCCTTTCTCCATAGTGCTTGGAGTCTGAGTCTTGGGAATGTGTAGCATTAAGAGGGTCAAACATGATCCCTGGGGAAAGACCGGTGCCAGGAACGAGGGAGAATCCAATCAAAGAGAGAATGCTGTTTGCTTGAGTGCACACAGAGACTGTCCCAACAGTCTGTCTCAGACCCCTCCTGCTGCCATAGAGACTTTGGGGGTCTTTAGAGGACAGGTGGAGGGGCTGCCCACCCCACCTCCAAGGAAAGGGGCTCAGCCCCAAGCTCTGCTCTTCCATCTCAGCTGCAGCCTGTGCCCCTTCCTGGCCCCCACCTGGCAGGGGCTACACCAGGCCACTGGAGTTAAATTGAGTGCAGCTGGGGATTGGGCTGGCTAGGGCTTTGGCTTCAGCTGTATGCAGCAGGGAAGATTTATCAGGCCTTCCCGTGCTCTGACAGCCCATGTGTTTCTGGTTTGAGGGCAGGGTGACAGCAGGGTGGTGGCGATAAATTTATAGCTCTGTGGCAAGACCCCCCTTCTCCGCCCACACCCGCCACAGCACCCTGAAGCAGAATAAGCTGCAGGCAGAAGTGGAACAGCTGTCAGAGCGGGGTGTGAAGGGAACAGCAGTGAATAGGCCCAACCTGGCTCCCAGTGCAGATCATGAAAATGCTCCCATTGGTGTCATGGGGATTCAGCAACAGGCCCTCGTGAGCTGGGAGGAAGCTGCAATGGTCCCATGTCCTGTTCTGCAATGATCCCGTGCTCCAGGTTTCTGTGCTATGCCCCACTCCATCCTGGCATGGGCTGCCTTGCAGAGGGGCATTTGTGAGGGTCAGGGCTTGTGATGACCATGGTCTAATGGGGACGTGTCCCAGCTTCTACTGCTCTGAGTTCCACTTGCCCTGAGGGAGCGAGCGTGATTGGACTTGGCGCCTCCAGGTTCCCCGGCCAGACCAGCTGGTTCTGGGGCCTCCTGCTCCAGCATGCAGTGAAATGGCAGAAGCAGAAGCCCTCCCACCTCCCCCCAGGCTGCAGCCAGGCTAGACCGATTCTGAATGGCCCAGCAGAATCCAGCTCAGCATTACCCATGCATCCTGCTGAGATCAGTTGGCAAGTCGATTTGGAACAAGGCAACCAGCACATTGGGCTACTGGTTCCTGGTAGATCCTCTCAGAGGTCAAATGATTGATTCTTACAGAGCCTTTTTGATCCCCTCCACCCCACAGTGTAGCTGGGATTCTGGTGAAAAGCATCTCCCAGATAAAGGAGCTACCTGGACCTCAGCTCTGCTGAGACACATAGCTGCATGTCGCTGCATTCCCACAACACTGGGAGGCAGCGTGCTGTCTCCTCTCGGAAATGCAACAGGAAATGCATCCAGTGCTGATCTGGGACCCACACATTAAATTCAGGGCCCAAATGGCACTTCCCCAGCACACTATGGGATTCTGCTCCCCTGGCCCTGTGGACGTGCTGGTGTCCACATGGTTACTGAACAAGTGCAGTAGGCTGCCCTCCAGCTGGGCAGGTAGGTGAGTCTGTGCACACATGTTGGTCAAGCAGGAGTCACAAAATTCTACCATGCAAGAAAACCCTGATTAGTGGGTGCTGGAGAATGGAGGAGAAGTAAGGCCCTCCCATGTCTTATTCCTAATACTAGAGTTGTTAGGGCACTCATCCTGCAAGCAGGAAACCTAGGTCCTAATCCTCCTTATCCAGAGAGGGTTTGAACTCATCTCACCTGGGAAGTCAGCACAGTGCCATAGAATAAGCATTATTCAGTCCTCCTCTGAAGCTGAGACTGCTCCTTCTGCACAGAGGTCCAGCTTCAAAAAGAGGGCAGGAGACGGGCCTGTATAACGCCTAACCTGTGACCTGATAATTAGAGCACTGTGCTGGAAAGTCAGAGAGAAGCAAGGGAGGTTTAGGTTGTATATTAGGAAAAACTTTCTCACTGGGAGGGTGGTGAAGCACTGGGACAGGTTACCTAGAGAGGTGGTGGAGTCTCCATCCTTTATAGTTTTTAAGGGCTGGCTCAACAAAACCCTGACTTGGAATGATCTAGTTGGAGATGGTCCTGCTTTGAGCAGAAGGTAGGACTAGATGACTTCCTGAGGTCCCTTCCCACCCTCATTTTCCATGGTTGTATGATTTAATGAAGTAGGATTCTGTGCTGTTGCCTTTCACCAAGCAGGTTCAAAAACCATGAGCTCTTGGTAACCCCTCTGGACTGCAGGAGAAAGAGGTGGCAACCAGCTGGGTATGGCTTTGGGGCCTGAAATCAGATGCTTGATGCTCTGTCCTTTTCTTCCTTCCAGGATCCCCGCAAGGAGAGAGGCTGGCAGGAGTACTTCCTAGCCAAGACAGTAAGTGGCATTTTCTTTCCCAGCCCAAGGATGGGTCTGAAAGAAGGTCCAGTCCCTTTCTTTACTTGCAGGAGTTGAGGCCAAGCCTCGGGTGGAAGCTGGAGTGAAGCTGGCTGAGGGTAGGATTACTCCAGAGCCTGCAGCCAGTGCAGCAGATGGGCAGTGTTACCCTGAAAGAAAGGCTGGGCCCTCCTAAATCATCTCAGCAGCTAGAGGCCTGATTGAATGGGCCACAGAAACTACACTGTAGAGAGGTCTCTTCAGGACAGGGTGGAGATGGCTGGAGCTTCTTTGTGAAAGAACAGGCCCTTTAGCAGCATCCAAGCCAGGTGCTGAGCATTTCTTTTCCTATTGGCTCCTGCCCTGAGGCTCAGACACCTCCATCACCATTGCCTGGTGCACAGGGAAGGTCTGGGGTGTCTCAGGAGACCTCTCTGAGGGGTTGGATAAAGATTGTGAAGTCTGGGGTAGTCCATCCTTTGCCCCTGGCCCTGAGGTAGTGTGGCTAAGGCTGCTCTGAGAGTGGTACCTGACAGGGCATTTTCTTCTGCTGTTTCCATTTCAGGGAAAACAGGGTCACAAGGACCCCCTGGTCCTTCAGGTCCCAAGGGAGACACTGGGAGCCGGGGGCCTTCTGGGGTGCCTGGAGTCAGGGGTCCTGCTGGACCACCAGGTAAGTCTTAAGTAACAGGCCCAGCATGAGGCCTTGCTGTGACCTCTGGTCCAGTGGTGATGATTCCAGGAGCTGGGGACCAGCAGGGCTCCCAGGGCCTTGATGCCCAGCAGGCATGAGGGCCTTAGAGCTGCCATCTCTGTCTCTCAGAGCTCAGCCCCTGACATTGGTAGTATTTACATGCAAACTCTTTATTCTCACAGGCATATGCTTCTGTGCCAGAGATCGGTGTTTCTCTGATGGCAGGTACCAGCCTGACTGTTGCTGAACAAAGTAGGTGTGGGGGCAGATCTCAACCCCACTGTCCCACACCTTGGGCCTGATACAAAGTCCAACAGAACTAGTCTCCTTGGTGTCAATGGGCTTTGGATCTGACCTTTGAGTAGCCCATCAAAGGATCCTGCACCAAGGATGATGCTGGCTTCAAGTGCTGTGTTCATTCCATACAGAGAGCTGGGTGATGCATTTGTGTTGGGTTGTAGGGATGAGAAGGATATCCATCCAACCAAGGCCATTCTCTCTACCAATAGTCAGGTGCAGCTGTCCTGGAGAACCACCCCTCCACCCCCACCATTGAATAACCTACTCATGAGGGAAGTCTCTACCTGACCCTGTCTCATGCCTTGAGAAAGAGGGTTTGTGTCCCTGTCAAATAAATGTTTCTCTCCTTTGCATCAATGCCTAACCTTTTCTTAATCCTGCTAAACTCACAGCCTCTGCCATACCTGTGATATCTGGGGGAAGGGAATTCCACAGGCCTAATCATGCATTATAATAGGAAGGAGTTTCTGTGGTCCCCTTGCGTGTCCCCTTGCCCTTGGAGTATGAAAAATTGGCTAGGAATGTTTGATCTGCCTTCTACATCACAGTTAGCATGCCTTTGTCACCCTGTGGTTAAAGCTGCTATGTCTGAATTGTAATGGTACAGTGGTTTGTATAGCTGACAGTTCCCTGGGCAATGATGTGGCCAATGCCATGGCCCTCTGCCTGTTATCCCCCACATGGAACAACCAGCTGCTCCTTTACAGCTGGGTCAACTGGAGATAGCCTTCAATGTGAGTCCAGACTAGGGCTCAAGCTCACACCTCTTCATCCAGGCTTCTGCCCACTCTCATCACTTATTATTGAATCCTGCTCTCTTCTGGAGATGGAGTAGCTAGTGCTGGACAGTGTCTTAAGCTTACCATGAGCTATCCTAGGTATACTGCAGCTGTGTTCTCAATTAATATAGAAGCCATTATTATTGTAGTATTCCCCTTCTGACCCTCTAGCCTATTAATTTTGCATCTTAACAACTCATTTGCTTCTCTGGGCCACAGCTGAACATTGAGCTGAGCTCTCTATTAGTTGTCTGTAGTGTCCCCAGGGTTTTGTCCTGGGCTAATACAATAAATGTGGAGCACAGTGAGATGTGTGCACAGTTCAGATGATTCCTGCCAATCTGCACTGGCTCTGAATTTCATTTCCTGCTTTGCTGCCCATTCCCTGAGTTTAGTCCCTCTGGATTACCTCTTAGCTTTCTCTAGCATCATCTATTTTGGGTCATCCACAAGATATTGCCAACTCAATGCATGACTTCTTTCTCGGATATCCCTGATGAATGTTAGTTGTTAAACCAGGATGGCTGAATGGAGGGAATTCTCAAATGGGACTCTGGATACCTGAGTTCACTTCCCAGGTCTGCCACTGCACTGTTGAGTGACCTTGGGCAAGTCATTTCCCCCTCTGTGCTTTGTTTCTCCCATCTGTAATATTGGGATAATGATACGGACCTCCCTTGTACAGAGACTGGTGGACAAAGAGCCAGGCAGGGTGGCATCAGGCAGTGCCATCCCAGTACAGAACCAAGGAGCCAGTAGTTGAGCTTTGGTTGGGAATTGGCCCTTGATTCCTGCTTTGCCTCCTGCATGCTGTCTGATCCCTGATGTCATTTTATCTTTCTCTACTGGCCACTTAGGTTCCTTAGTAGCCTCTCATGGAGGTTATTAAAAAGCCCCAAATCCATGCTTGGCCCCAGGGTTAATACTGCTTGGCTCTGTAAAAGCTTTTCATCTGCAGAGTGGCCCTCCTCCAACTTAGGCCTTGGGGAAAGCTTGTCCAACATGATCCCCTCCAAGCCCAGGGAGAGGTCAGGGCAGTGACTATGAGGATGAACTTGGGGTGGGGCCTTCCCAGCTCCAGGGTCTGCTGGGTGGGTACCACAGGGACTGGGGTTTCCCAGCCATGGTGTATGGGGGAGGCGAGTGCCCTGTGCCTATGGGGCCAAGCAGGAGGTGGGGTTAAAGCAGCAAGCTGCAGCCAGGCCCGCTCCCTCCTGCCTGTGGTTGCTTTTAGCAGTGCAGCCCCAAGTCCCATTGGATCTGTATAATGTTTATTAAGCTTGGAAGGCATCCAGTGCTTTGCTGCCTCTGCCCATTTGGAGTTAAATGTTAACAGCCATCTCCACAAAATTCTCCCAGCCCCAATACCTCTCTGCACACTCCCCATGCAGCACACGCCCCCTGCTCCCTTCCAGCCTTGGCTTCACTCACACTCCCAGCCTTTGTTCTTGACCTCCCAGCACCCACAGGGGTCCTGCTCCAGCCAAGGGCTGGCTGCCTCCCCATCTTGCAGGATGCTCCCTGTCTTCAGCAGCAATGCACCCAAGGCCCAGGGCTGGCTGCCAGGCCCTCAGTGCTGGGGCTATGGGGAAGTGGGGACTAGATCCCAACTGGTGATCAGCATTAGTTGGGGCTCACTTCAGGGATTGTACTGGAAGGCCCCTGGCACTGGGGAGACTGCTCCCTTAGATTCATAGATGTTAGGGTCTGAAGGGACCTCAATAGATCATCAAGTCTGACCCCCTGCATAGGCAGGAAAGAGTGCTGGGTCTAGATGACCCCAGCTAGATGCATATCCAACCTCCTCTTGAAAACCCCCAGGGTAGGGGAGAGCACCAGCTCCCTTGGGAGCCTGTTCCAGACCTTGGCCACTCTAACTGTGAAGAAATTCTTCTTAATGTCTAATCTACATCTGCTCTCTGCTAGCTTGTGGCCATTATTTCTTGTGACCCCTGGGGGTTCCTTGGTGAATAAAACCTCACCAACTCCCTCGTGATGCACTGAAACCATATACCCCTCAGCATGGCAAGGCAGAGTGGGAGAGCAGCATGGGTGGGTTGTGGGGGATACTGCTGAGCCTGTGGCTGCTCTACTGTTGTGCAAGGAGGAGTTCACCATGGTTGTGCAAGGGGTTTCTTCTGTCCCTTTGCTGGGAGTCCCCATCCTAGTGAGGGGAGGGTGTAGCCTGGTTGAGTTGGTCACACACTGAGACCATGGAAGCAATGACCCTCACCCTTTCTCCACCCCTCCATGAGGTGGTGGGACCCAGCTGACTCCTGGCAAGGGGGCAGTAAGTGGAGCCCCTGGGAAGTCCCCTACTAAACATGAGAAGAAGCTGCTCAGCCCAGGCTGCAAGTCCTACCCACAATACAAGACAGCACACACCTCGCAGGCCCAGAGCCTGCTGTACAGCGCCCTTGCTAGTCGCAAGGAGGAAGTGAGGGCAGGATCTTCCCTGGCACATTGCAGTGACATGGAAAGGAAGGCACCGTCCACAGAGCAGGGGCTTGGATCCTGCCAGCCCCACCATGCAGCCCAGGCCAGGGTTTTCCACAGCAGGCTGATCACCCGTGGGGACCAGGAGGCAGCATCACCAGTGCTAGCCGGGCCCACGTGGGGCTGGTGTGTTAATGTTGCTGGCGAATGTGATCCCCGTCACTGTCTACCATTCAACAGTTAAATACAGCTTTGGGTACCAGTACAAAGGCCTCAGCCTGCTTGGTTACCATGGTAACCAAGCCTGGAAATGTGCTTAACTACAGGTGCGGATACGCCCCATGATTGCTGTAGAGGAATTTATCTCACACTTGCATCTAGAGTACTCTAAACTTACTCTGTACTAAGAAGTGGGCACGGCATGCCACCAGCCCTCCTAAGCTGGAGACCACACTAGGTGCTTTTGCAGCACCTGGCCACTAGCTGAGGGAAGCCCTGGCTCAGGATGAAATTGGGCAGGGACACGTGTCCTAGGTAGAAATGCCCCCGTGTAGTCAGGTTACACAATTTTAAGGGGTAAATGTACCATTCATTCCAGTGATTGACTATATCATAGTACCACGCTTCGTGAGTCTGCTCCACTTCTGCTAGGTAGTAAAGTCAGTTCACTGTGTATGCTGTATGCCCACAGCCTAAGATACATGAGATGGGGAGAATAAGAACAAAGATACTGGGGATTTCAGAAATCAAATCAAGAGACAGTGCAGAACAGCTGTAGTCCGACCCTCCCCCCCAACACTGTTTCTCAAAGCAGGCACTGGTCAAGATCTCTGACCCTCTGAAGCAGACTTTCTTGGCCAAGAGAAGGGAGCTGACCCCCTCGGTCCTGAGAGGTGAATGGTCATTGCTTGCCCTACCTTTGACAAACCAGATGCATGCAAAGGGAGAGGCTATAAAGGTGAGGGAATAGGGAGTTTTGCTGAAGGTAGTGAGTCAGTCATGATCAGAGGCTCTGAGCTGGCAAGCCAGCCATGACCGCTATGACCCAGGACGCTGGCTTCCTTCCTTCCTTGAGGACATCACCCGGCTGGTCTGGTCAGGTCCCACTCCCTTGGTGGTCCTTCTCAGGCAGGACAGAGCAGGGAAGGCTGGCTCATCCTGACTTGCCAGTGCTGTGTAGTGTGGTTGGCCTCAGGATCAGGTGAAAGGCTGAAAGAGAGAGGAAACAGGAGGATGGGAGGGGGGAGGTGGGAAGCAGCACCCATGAGGGCAGAGTAGGTTCCCCCTTGTCTGGGATGGATACCCCCTGACAATATGGTGATGATCATGTGTTACTGCTTCCCCTATTCACCAGACACAACCTTTACACAATCCTTGGGTGGTATCAGGAGGCTTTTTTGTTCGGGCTAGTTCAGTTTGTCCCTTTCCATTCAGTACCTTCCCCAATGGTATGTTTTGTCCCAGAAGGGGACACATTGCAGAAATCCCCTGGAGCAATCCATGCAGGCTGCTGTTGGAGAAAGGACTGGTTGCAAGGTCTGTGGTCCCTACTGCCATGCCCTGTGTGAGCTCTCAGGGAGGGTGACCTGTAGGAACATTAGCATGCCCACACCAGGTGTGCTGGGGACAGGCAGACAAAGTTCCCCAACCAGAGCCAAGGCATATGGGGGACCCCTACCACCTAGGCAGCTTCAGCTGTCCCCATACATCATGGGCACACAAGCAGTGTGTCCTGAAGGTGCCCCATGGGGCAGATGGGTATGACATGGGTGCCTGCTGCCCATTTGGCAACCCCAAGCTCCTCCCCAGTGACTATACTAAGGAATTACCCACAACGCCTTTCCTGCAGGCAGGGTCTGTAGCTCCCAGCCCTCCAAGTCCATATGGCGTCCTCAGCATGGTGCCTGGGTTATGCCTGACAGGGTCCCCTGCAGGACAGCTGTGCCCAGGTGATGCCTGCAGCTGCAGGGAGATTTTCCTTTGCTCAACACTTTGTTCTTTTGTTCCAGGCCCTCCTGGTCCCCCAGGCTCACCAGGACGGGATGGTGTGAGGGGCATCCCTGGAGAGAAGGGGTTACCAGGACTTCCAGGCCTCCCAGGTCCTCCAGGCCCCCCAATCCCAGTGGGGCCAGTTATACCCCAGATCCCAGACCCAAGTAAGTAGCAAATAGCAGGACCCTGATTTGGTCAAAGAGGGAGGGGGGCATCAAACCACATGGGTAAGAGTTACTGAATGTATCTGTTAAATGATTATTAAACACAGCTATCAGATTTAACTAAGAAAGTTATTAAATTTGAATTTATTTACAATGTATTTGAGTTTATTTAAATTTCAAGTTTTGAATTCATAAATTCATTAAATATATTTATTGAATTATTATTAAAGCAGTAGTTTTCAAGCTTCCTAAAGCCATGGAGCCCTTTCATATCACTGCTTCTGCTGCAGAATCCCTATCCCTATCCTCTGTGGGCCTTGTGAGCTGCCATGGAGCCACACAATCCAGCCTAGCAATGGCAGTGCATGCTTGCCAGCTTGCTCTACCATGACTCCCAATCACTTTGGAGAAACCCTGATGGCCTGTCACAAAACCGCAGCCTTCCACAGTTTGAAAACCTCTGTATTCAAGTATTAAATTATTAAATTATCTATTAAAATAGGACCCAAGGATTACAGTAGACTCTAAGATGAATATGAGCCAACAGTACGTATTTGTTGCAAACAAACAGACAGCCAGAAGCCAGTGGGCTCCCCACTTCAAGGATGTGGACAGTTTGGAAAGAGTCTAGCACGGCGTAACAAAAATGACTGGGGGCTTGGGATGCAAGACTTATGAGGAAAGGCTGAAGATTGAGAGAGGGGTTGGATAACAGATTTCAAATACCTGAAGGGTGATGAAAGAGAGGATGGACATGGGCTTTTCTCCATGACTGTAGGGGACAGGACTAGGAGCAATGGCCTCAAACTTCAACAGGGGAAACTGAGATTAGAGATTAGGAGGAACTTTCTGACTATAAGGGTAGTCAAGCATCAAGACAGGCTGCCTAGAAAAATTGTGGAATCTCCATCCTTGGAAATTTTCAAGAGCAGGTTGGACAGACATTTGGCTGGGATGGTTTAATTGGGGATGGTCCTGCCTTGAGTAGGAGACTGAACTAAATAGCCTTGTGGTCCCTTCCAGCCCTACTTTCCTATGATCCTATGACAGAGCAGGTGTAAGGGGCTGCTCTGAGAGGTTCAGTAGGGGGAGCTTCTCCTCCTAGTCCGAGCTGACCCCAGGGCCCCAGTACAGTGTGATGGGGTGCTGTGCTGCTGGGAGTGGGGTGTGGATTCAGTAGGGGCATTCAGCCTTCTGAGCCAGTGCCAGTCCCAGTACTGTGGTGCAGCAGCAGGAGGTGCTGTGGTACAGCAGATGGTATGAGTGACCCAGCTCCCCCCACTGGGTAGTGCTGCCTCAGCATGGCACCAGAGGCCACTGTGCTCTCAGCCCTGTCAGTGCAAGATGTGGCCCATCTGACATCAGTGGGGCTGGGGAGCTGGGCTCTCTTCTCAGCCCTGGTGCTGAGGGCCTCAGGCAAGTTGCTTCCCATGGAGACAAGCTGACAGGGCCACAGATGCAGCAGTTCAGTGATGTGCAGCTGGGCTTAGCAGCCACTCTGCCCTGTCCTGGTCACCTCAGGGTCCCCAAACCCACACAGATGTTCTGGCTTCTGCTTGGGTGGCCCTTCCATGGATGCTGAAAGAGAGACAAGAGCTGTAGAAGCAGTGAACAGAGCAGGCTCTTGTGACAACTCTAGTTGGGTGCCTGCATGTGACTGACAGTAATACAGTCTGTCCTGTTCCTGCTGGGAGCACAGATTCTCAATTTTGTCTGAGCTGGCTCCCCTGCCACCCTCCATCCCCCCCCCTGCCCAAACCCTCAGCCGGTAGTCTGACACCTTCCCAGCAACAGCATAACCCAGGGTTGCAATAACTAAAGTACCAAGGACCCTGTTGGCAGATGGTTCAATCAGCTCTCCTCCCACTGCCAGCACCTAATGTCCAAGTGCTTCTAACCCTAACTCAAAATATAGGAGTGGACACCACCAAGCCATTTCTGGGGCAGGCATCCCTAGCTGAGCTGGGCCTGGGTACTGCTGGCCTGTGCCTGTGCCTCAGCCTCATTGCCCTCACATATAACAACACCCAACCCTTAGCTAGCAGGTGGCTGCCACAGGTCTCAGCATGCTTTAATCAAAGAACTTGGGATCATTGCTCTCATTTCATAGATGGGGAAACTCAAGAGAGGGGAAAAGACTTGCCTGAGGTCACCCAGCAATCCAGTGCCAGAGCTAGGACTAGAACCAATATTTTCTATGCCCTAAGCCAGTGCTCTGCTCAGTAGGCCACATATTTCCTTAAATAAGTGCATGCAGGTGATCATGTGGCCTGGCAGGCAGGGTCCATGGGATACACTGGCTAAGAGCAGGCAACTTTTCCTCCTGCAGAGACTGGCCCTGTTGGGGGTCAGAGTCTGTCAGAGGAAGGCACCAGGTGAGGTTATACCCACTCAGCATGGTGTCTCACACCCAAGGCCAAAATGTGTCAGCCAGGCACATGTCTGACTGTGCATACATGTGTATGATGAACCACATGTGGCCTCTCGTGCCTGTATGTTTCTGCCACTGGCAGTGTGTCCCTGCTGTACCCTACCTAGCTGGATCTATGGCTGGGCTGCATTCAGCAAAGCAGGTTCCAATGCTCAGCCTATTTTTCTATGAGCTCTGGGGCATGGGGGCTCGTTGCCTCACTGGGCAGCTGGCCTGTTCCCTGATCCCTCCTTCCTCTTTCCCAGGGGACCCGCTTCTGTCAAATACCTTCACTGAGGCTGGCAGCATCAGCATTGTGGGACCGGCTGGACCCCCTGGGCCTTTGGGGCCAATAGGTAAGTCCCCACAGTGCAACCCCTGGTTCAGGTTGGCTAAGTGACCACCCCTGGGGAAAATCTCCTGCTGGGCACCCACATTCCCACTGGGGTGTTGGGAAAGGGCATCGCCCAGGGCAAGCTCAGCACAATGGATGCCAAGCTGGGTGGATTCACATCTTTGCAGGAATGTCTCAGGCTGAAGAGTAGACGTGCTCAATGCCATCTCCATCCCCCGCCCTCATGTAATGGCTGTGGGTTTTTCAACTACCCCTTAGTGTCAGCACCATTAATAGCATCTCCCCTGAGTAGGAGGTATCTGTCCAATAAATCTGTCCGAGCCCTCGCTCAGGGATGTGGCTGTGCCCATTGGATGGGACCCACCCACAGTGTCATTAGCAGCAAACAGCAAGGTCCCTGCCTTGACTTCATGAGGACTGCTCCCCAGCCAGGCCCATAGGGCATGGGGACTTGCCGTCCTTGAGGGTAGGGATACTGAGCATCAAGGGAGGGAGGTGCCAGACTGAACAGACCAATAGCTGTTGGTGGGGACCCAGTCCATATTGCAGTGGGCTCACTTGACTGGTCCCCACTGTGCTGTGTCCTGCCCCCACTCCAGGACTAGGCACCACAGAAGAGCTAACATGTATGTCCTCTGTTCTTTCAGGCCCCCCAGGCCCAATTGGATTACCAGGCCCTGCTGGGCGTGATGTAAGTGCTGGGGCTGCATGGGAAAGGGAGGGCACAGAGCGCTGCTCACAGGCCTGGGAGGAGGAGAGGGGCTTTTTCATCCCGCTCTTACTGGAGTGGTTACCTGTCCTGTTTCTCTAGGCAGCCAAGTCTTTCCTTTCCCCTTGGCATGAGCTGGACTCTGCCAGCCAGCTGCCCTTCCCCCAGGCCTTGGCTGCCATGGCACAGGCTGGGAAGTGCCAGAGGTGCTGATTGTGGTGGTGTTTCTATGCAGGGGTTACCCGGAGCACCAGGTGCTGATGGAGCTGCTGGCCTTCCAGGGGAAAAAGGAGACCGAGTGAGTGACCCTCAGAGCCTGCCAGGGCCCTTCACAGCTTTGGTGGCTCTTGGCCAGTGGTGTGCATGTACGGCAGCAGATGAGGCTAAGAGGAGGGGTGTTTGGGGTGTCCTGGCTTTGCAGTTCAATGCACAGACCCTAGCAGCCCTCAGGCACCAGGAAGTGGAAGGAAACAGAGATGGGGAATGAAGCCAGCCACCTTCCTGCACCTCAGCTCCTTCCTGTGCCATTGCCAGAGGCCTAAGATCAGGGCTCCAGTGGGAAGAGGAGATGCCCCACTCCCGAGTGGCTCTCCAGCTTTATGCCTGTCTGAAGGGAGACAGTCCAGGGTCCCTTACTCCCACACCAGGGCTCCTGTCCAGGGATCTGTGTGAGATTACTTTGATGGGTCTCAGCCTGGTCCCATGTAGGCCAGAACCTGTCACTGCCCCAGAGGTGCCCTTTCCCCTGCAGCCTCAGCAGAGAGGCCATGGAGACAGCTTCCCTCAGCCTGACAGGAGTCCTCCCACACAAGTGGGAGACACGGAGGCAGGGTACAGTGCTGGGGGATACTGCCCCCATGGCTGGCAGTACTGTACATCTGCAGGGGATCAGTGGGTGGCTTGGGTCTCTAGGGTGGTCAGTGCCACCTATATCCCCCAGCAGCATCAAACACAGATACTGTCCCTTCTCAGTGATTCCCTTCCCTGGTTGGGCAGTTTGGGCAACAGCAATACCACTTCATGGACAGAAGAGGGAGAACAGTGGCAGTGGTCCCCTGGGGACAATAGGGTCAATGGCTGCTACCCTCTCATGAGGGACCCAGTGCCTAAGAAACAGCTCCATGAGGGAGTGGGGCCCAAATCAGCAGCCTTTTGCTCTGTGCCCGGGGTCCAGCCAGTAGCCTGGCCACACACAAGGCAGCAGGACACTGAAGAGTGTGTGGCCAGAGCTCCTGGGGGCAGCACACCAGGACACAGCCAGTGACTAGCTTTCTTCTCTTGCTCAGGGCCCTCAAGGATTTCCTGGAAGCAGAGGCCTGGATGGAGAGCGAGTAAGTTGTAGGCTTTGCTTCTCATACCCTGGGGCTCTCCCTTCCAACTCCACTGACTCCATTTGGAGGGAAGCTCTCACCCCAAAGCCCCATAGCCCCTGCCCCGCATGTCCCTCATCCCTTGGGCCCCATGGCAGGAGGGGTCTATCTTCGTAGTTCCTCTTTAACACTGCAACGCTATGCCGGGTGGGTCTCTCCGCACCCCTGCCCCTTAACTCCACAATTGGAGGGGGTGGCCTATGACCCTCTCATCCCCTCTGCCCCCCACCAGCTGCACCCTGGGGAAGGGCATTGAAGGCCTGTGCCCAGGGAGCCCATATGTACCTGTGACTGGCTGCAGGGGTCTGTCCCAGAGCCTTGGCTCAGCCAAGGGTTCGTGCCCCCATTTCTGCGGGAAGGGGCCTGGTTAGGGTCTCCCCTGCCCTAGGGATGGGCCATGGTGGGCTAGAGGCCTGGCTTCCTCCTCATGCTATGGGGAATCCTGTCCTGCCGTGTCCTCTTCCCTGCCCTCCTGTCCCCTGCTCTGGGTGAGAGACCTGCCCTGGGGATCTCATTCCTGTACCATTCTTATTCTTGGGCACCCTGTGTCTCACCCACCAGGGCCATTCCCATCATTTTCTGCCATCCTTCTCCTTTCTTTGTTCCAGGGGGAGCCAGGCCCAAAAGGAGAGCCAGGGGAGAAGGGCACCTGGGTAAGCACCAAGCAGGGACTGCTCGCTCACCTCAGGCTGTCCTACATGCAGCAGTCAGCCCTGAGCAACCACCTCTCCAAGGGACCCCAGGGCTTGGCACTGTAGCCTCCTGCCTGCTCCCACCTCACTCTCCAACCTCCCTATCCCAGCCCCTGGGAAGCAGGGCACAAAGTCTCAGAAGTAGTACTGGTGCTGGGACCCTGTGGCTGTCACCACTTGAGGCCAATGAAGCCGGTTATAATGGGGTGCCAGTGCCCTATACCAGGAGGGGAAGGGAATCCAGGACTTCCTCCTCCCCCCAGGCTTGGGGAAGGGACATGGATCACAGAGGGTGATTGGACTTCTTCACCCCAGAGCACCAGGGTGTTCAGACACCCTCCCAGCCTAGCAGGCTACCTGGAGTCCAGGGAACAGTTCCTGCCACCCCATGAAGTCCTCTCCTGATTTGGCCACGCTGGGGAGAACCTGTTACCTCCTCGTAGTGGAATCCCATGGCCTGTCCCTGCTGGGCTGTCCCTTGTCCCTCCCTTTGGAGGCCCAGCTGGCCACTCAGACCATGGCTTCCTGCCTGAGCTGGCCTACCCCTGTGGGACAGCTGTCACCCACGATATACAATCGTGCAGCCAGCTGAACAATCCTCCCTGATGCTGCAGGCAAAGACATGAGTGGGCACAAGGTCAGTGACTGCCATTCAGAGCAGCCAATTAGGGCATGAGCTGCCAAGATCTGGGTATAAAACACTGGGCAGGATGACCCATTTGGTGGTATGGTGCCAATGGTGAGGATGATGGGGATGTGCCTCTGAAGGGGGACAGACTACTGGGACCCATCAGGCTGCCACCAAGATGACACTATGGTGGGCAGGGGATTGAGGGTGGGCAGGGGATTGAGTGAGGGCGTGGTGATGGGCAGAAATGGGGGCTTGTGTGATGGCCTTCCCATGCCAACCTGGGGTAGCGGGGACAGACAGGGAAACATAGTGGCAGCCCTTGCTCCCAGAATCCTGACCTGTACTCAGAGGCATCCTTCCTCCATCCCACCTGTCTTTCTTTCTGTCTCTCTCTCGCTCCATTCCCTCCTCACCCTATCGTGTCACCCTGCCCTGGGGTCTTTCACCCATCTCCCCCCAGGGCCCACTCCTCAGCCATCCTGCTCTTGGGGGCAGTGTCTGGTTGGAGGCACTGACACCTCTCACTTCTGTTCTGGCACAAAAAATCATGTGGGTAGGGGTGGAGGTGGAAACGGGGCCATGGCTTAGGTCCTGAAACTCCACCAGGCCACTATAAGTGGTTGCCACAAGGAGTTGCCCTGCCAGCAGGTGTCCCATAGTCTTGGGACCCAGCGGCTATATGGCATGCAGCGCTATGCAGCATGGTTGGACTGACCAGTAAAAGTGGGAGGTGCCAATTCATCCATCCCCCCTCATCCTGGTGGTGGTTAGTGATTGATACAGCTGTGGGAACCTGTTTTGACCTATTTGTCTTCATCTATGGAGCCCAGCTGCCTGCGGTCTGCAGTAACCCCACTACTAACCCAACCTGGGCATGACCCCTCTCCATGCACCTTGCCCTCCATGCACACAGCCCTGGCAAGATTGGGAATCAGACTGGCACTTCCTATCCCAACCTGACCATTAGCTTTCTGGTAGAGCTGACAGACTTCGGCTTCATGGTGCTGGACAGTTCATGACAGGCACCCTGGGAGAACAGAGAGAATGGATAATCGCGCCTTGTCGTGCATCCATAGGTGCTTCATAAACAGGTCCAGGGAAGTGATTCTCTCCCTCTATGCGGCACTGGTCAAACCACAGCTGGAGTACTGTGTCCAGTTCTGGATGCCGCAGTTCAAGCGGGATGCAGACAACCTGGAGAGGATCCAAAAAATGGCCACTTGCCTGATTAGAGGCCTGCAGGAAAGGCTAAGGGACCTTAACCTCTTCAGCATCTCCAAGAGAAGGCTGAGAGGGGACCTTGTGGAGGCGTACAAATTCACAAGGGGAGAGCAATATGAAGTAGGCGACAATCTGTTCACCAGGACACCCCCTGGAATGACAAGCAACAATGTCCATAAGCTCCTAGAGATAAGGTTTAGGCTGGACATTAGGAGAAAGTTCTTCACAGTCAGGGTTGCCAGAATCTGGAATAGGCTCCCAAGGGAGGTGGTGCTCACCCCATCCTTGGGGATCTTCAAGAGGAGACTGGACAGGCACCTGGCTGGGTTCACATGACCCCAGGGTTGGTGACTCTTTTCTTGCCTGGCAGGGGCAGGGGGTCGGACTAGATGGCCCACTGAGGTCCCTTCCGACTCTATGAATCTATGACTGTTCTAGCAGAGGGGCAGGCTCCTGTGAAGGCTGGCCCATGGTCAGTCTAGGAGACCCTGGGGACACACACACAGCCTGAAATCCAGACAAGCGTTCCAGTGGGACCAGGCCAGTTGCCTTCCAATAACCTTGACTCAGGGTGGCCATGGGACATAAGTAGCTGCCACAGATCAAAGAAGGTGTTGGAAAGTGACATGCAAGAGCCCCCATTCTCACCTGTCATGGGGAGACCTGGGGAGCCTGAACGTACATTGGCTGTGTTGTCACATTCTCCCACATACACACAGAGCCCTTTGCTCTGGCATTCAAGGGCATTCTGAATCTGCATTCAGGGGTCCTTGGTTGGCTGAAGTCCTCACAGCACCAGCCTCCTGCAAGGCTGTTTGGTATCGTCCTCACCACCTCGACACTCCTGTAGAAAATGGGTTGCCCTTCATATTGGGCAAAGGGGGCAAGCCATTTTCTGTCCCCAGAGGTCTCAGTGATAGAGGTGTCACCCCAGTTGTGATAAGCATGCATGCTGTTTCCTGCAGACTCTGCCATTCTCATCATCTTTCCTGCTAACCTCAGCCCAAGATTGACTGCCCACCTCACCAAGGTCCTGTGTAGCTGCTTACTAGCCTAGCAGGTCTGCTATAAGCAGTTGGTATAAAGTGGGTATAAAATACTGCCTGGCTGTGGAATGGTTTTAGCCACCCTATAGGCAGGGCCTGAGGACCCCAACAAGAAATTCCCTGCCCTTCCTGGTGCCCACAGAGCTTCAGGGTCCTGATGAGCCAACGGGTGCCAGCAGCACCCCACCTTGTCTCACTAACAGATCCTGGCTGCATACCACATACTCCCCTGTCCTCCTCCCTTCCTGCCTGTGTCCACACCCTCTCCCCACCTGTGATGCTGTGTATGAGGGGGTCCTGTACTAGCCACGCGCCGCGTCTCCCCCCCCCCCCCCCCCCAGTGTCCTGCTTGCCCTGTAATGGGGAGGGAAGAATGGCTGATCTGGGGAGCATGACAGGGGGAGATAAGCCTTCACAGGGCCTTACTATCCTGGGACTATCCCCTTTTGTTGTGGGGTGTGACAAAAGCCAGGGAGAGTCAGAGTCTAGGCCCAGCCTGATTTTACATCCTGCAGGATGTCTGAGCTCAGTGAGGCTGCGGCATCATCTTGAGGGGCAATTCTTACTTCCACCACAGCCCCTCTGAAGCGCCAGTCTAAGGCCATGGCAACACCTTAGCCAAGGTGGAAGAATGCCCATGGACAAGCACTGCCTACAATAGCCCTTGCCCCCTTGCAGCCCCGGGCTGTAGACTGGACTTGATAATCTTACAGGTCCCTTACGGTCCTATGAGCTGCGGGGGAGAGGTGCAGAGGAGCCCTCCGTAGAGCCACCCCCAGCACCTCCATGGGCACTGCTGAGAGGTGTAGGGTTGTGCCATTCCTTTCTCAGAGGCACAGCTCCGATTCTTTCCCCACCAGGCAGTGGAGGTAGCACTGAGCAGAAAGCAGGAAGATTTGCACCTTATAGACTAACCAAGATAGATAGCTAGATATAGCACAAGCTTTTGTGAGATGAAGCTCACTTCATCAGATGCTGTGAAAGGATGTACAGAGAGCAGAGTATAGGGAAATAGGCCCATTCAGGAGCCTCTGCGAGAATCTGTGCCTAGGAGGCCTCATGCAGACCTCTGGGCAGCTCAGAGTGGAAGCTGGAGACCCTGAGACAACCCTGGGGCTGTCTGTGCTCAGCGGCTTCGGAGCTGAATCCCTTTTGTATTGAAAAGGCCACTGTGAGGGATGGGTAGCTCCCAGCTGGAAAGGGAGACTGAGCCCTGAGAGGTGCCGGGGGCGAGGTGGCAGACTTGAGGCTCATAAATCCTGTACGCTGGCCTGGCTGTGTTCCCTGCATGGGGGGGACAAACCTAGGAATTCTTACCTGCTTGGGGCGGGGGGGGGCACTCGAGACAGCCACGTGTGGCCCAGTGGCAACCCCTGTAGGCTGCCCTGAGCACTGCAGGCCCCGTTATCCCATCTGAGGAACTGCAACCAAGGGCAGTAGTTGGGGCGATCTGAAGGGTGGAGGTCCCAGGGGCTCAGAAGCTGGAGGAGGCTGGATCAGAGGCAGGGTGAAACGGCTGGGACAGGACCCAGCCAGGCCCATGCTGCTGCTGAATGTGGGGTGCATGCTCCGGGCTGGCCTGGCTCCTCCTTCCCCACCAGCATGAGCTGTGCGTGGTGGATGCTGGACAGTGCCCTCTCCCCTCCCTCCCTGAAGTGTTGTGTGTGCATGCCTGTTAATGCGGGCCAAATGGGGGGCTTTGTTAACAAAGTGCCCCCTGGAGAGGACGGACCACCCCTCTCTGGGCCCCCCACCCTTTTCCTGGAGGCTGTGGGGTCAGAGGGCTGACCCAGGCCAGCGGGCCCCCATGCCCCGGCCCCACGCGTACCCTTCACGGCTGTATCTGTCTCTTTCATCCACAGGGGGAGGGGTTACACCAGCTCCGAGAGGCTTTGAAGATTTTAGCTGAGAGGGTTTTAATCTTGGAAACAATGATTGGGCTTTATGGTGAGTAGAGACAGACAGAAGGACAGAATCCCAGGCTGCAGGTGTGGGGCTGGGGCTGGCTAGGGGCAGCTCATGCAGAGGTCTGGAAGGGCCCCCACGCTGCCCCCGAGCAAACAGTGCTCCAGGCTTCCCTCCCTATCCTGCTCAGCCCCAGGGGAGGGCAGGGTGGGGGCCTGCGGTCAGACAGAGGCTGGGGCTGCTTGGCCCCATGGCCTGTGAGCCCCTGGCTCCTGAGTTGATCTCTCCCCCTGGGCAGTCTGGCCTGTTTGCTTTTGGCAGCTGGTGGGTTTCCAGCCCTCTGCATCTGTCCTGGGGACTGGCCTCAGGTGTGTGCGGGTAGGGAGGAGGGGGGGAGCTCTTCCCTGCAATGACATCATCCCAGTTCAACAGGTCATAGGTCAACCATGTGAAGCCAGGCTCTGATGACATCACAGCAGCCTTTCTCCTGCTGATGTCATAGAGCTGCCAGAGGAACCCCCACCCCCAATCCATCCCCCCACCCTTCTCCCTCCGACCTGGGGGAGGGTCTAGGGAACCAGGACACCCAAAAAATGGCCAAGAGATGATATACCTCCCCCTGCCCCCGCTCAGGCACTGACTTCACAGAACAGGGGGCAGTTAAACCAGTGGGGAGCAGGGCAGGGAGACAGCTGCTTGGATTCATCCAGACCCAGGGGCCCGATTCAGCCCTGCAGGACTTGAGTGCAGCTCCCAATGGAGAGAAGGGGCCTGCTCTGGACAGGCAAGAGACTGGCTTTGGTAGGAGCCACTTGCGGTTGGAGGGCACCCTCTGGTGGCAACAGGAGAAAAGGATGGTCAATTCAGATTCCCCATTCCCTTATGATGACTGGTGTTGGTATTATGGCAGCTGCTGAGGACCCAAAAGGGGATCAGGCCTTCCTGGTGTAGTGCTGTACACACTCAGAATGAAGAAGACTTCAAGGGGTCTTCGCTCCATGCAAATCTCAATAACTTCTCCTGAGCAGCAGGAAAGGGAAGTGCCTCTGACTTGGTACTGTAAAAACCTGCTTGGACTTGGCCCCCAAGCCAGGTGTCCTGCACTCATAAATGGGGTGATTTCAAAGGAGCTGCCTCCTGCCATGCCAGAATCCTTTGCTTTGTGTCGCACTTCCCCGCACCCACCAGCACTTTGAGCAGTGAGTTGGAGCAAGCAGAGGGAGGGGAGCCAAAGGAAGCCCGTCTGATTAGGAGAGACTTGAACAGAGACACTGTTCTGCTCAGGACTGCAGAGGAGGCAGCTCACCAGCAAGAGGAGGCAGGTTGAGCAGATGGCTCTAGGAGCATTAGAGAGGGACCCAGAGTGATTTCCCCAATCCTGTTCAGTGGGGATGGAGCCAGAGCTGAGGAGAGAAGAAGGTTTCCCTCTACCCCATCTGGTCTTTGAGTTCAGTGGGTGCTGGGCGATAGGCTCTGTCTGCCCTCCCAGAGAGCTATCTGACCTCAGCCCCCAGCCCCGAGTTGTGTGTGCACTGTCATGGGCTGTGCCTCGTCCTGATTCCCTGAAATCCCAGCAAGCAAGGAGATGGGACAGCATGTGCTTCCTGCTCGCTGACCAGCCCCGCGCCCATCCTCCACAGGGCACTGAGCATCAGTTGCCACGTTAGCTCAGAGCAGCCTGGATCCTGTCTCTGTGTCCTTTACAACCCTTGTTCCCCACATCACGTCCCCTGTCTCACACTTTTCCAAGCTGGTGTCCTGGTTCCCCAGCTCAGCCCACAGTGACGGATCCTCCCTATCTTTCCCTTCCCCCATCGAGGGTGAATGAATTCGCACTCTGTGCTCTTCTCAATCTCCACTAGGCCATTAGCTTACAAACCTTCCTACAGCAGCAGGCCCAGCTGGAGCTCCTGGCTAGAAGGGTCACCTTGCTGGAAGCCATCATCTGGCCAGGTAACAAGAGGCTCAACTTTTCCTACTCTCTGTTCTTCCTCAGCATGATTCATTAACCGTGTGAGCTGGGCTCGCTGAGTCAGTGGGCCGCTTGGAGCCAGCCTGTGTTGGGGACCCCCGTTGTATCCGCGGGTTCCCCCTTTTGCATGCCAAGTCTGTGGATGACAACTCCTCTGTGTTTTGCAAGCCCTTTGGAGCCAGATGGTTGGGATTCCAGTTAGGTGCTGATACAACCCTTCCTGTCTCGTAACTGCCAGCTGTGGTGGGGGCTGAGGTAGAGGACACAGAGCATGGACTGGGGCATCCTTAGCACGGGCAGGTTTGCGTAGGAATCTCTTACATCCCTGCATAGGGGCCTCGTCCTCTCGTGATCAGACCAGTCCGTGGCATCAACCGTTCCTGACTTGCTTGGGAGGGAGGGAGTTGCCTTCCTCTCTCCTGGAGAGAGCCTGTGACAGATGGATCTAGAGAGGGGACATGGGATGCGCTGGTCACAGCCTTGTGTGACATGTGTTACATGCCTGGGGCCAGGGAGACTGGGAAATCGCAGGTGCAGAGAATTAATGTGGTGATGGCAAATGGCAGACCCCACAGTGTCAGGAGCTTCCTGAATCCCAACAAGACCTGTCTGGAAGGGACCTCCAGGGGTCACCCCTTTGCTCAAGGCAAGCTTGTCCCTGTTTAAACTATCACAGACAAGTGATTATCTATCCTGCACTTCCAGTGAGGCAGATTTTAAGTGATCTGTTGCTTAACCAGCCTCAGAGTTAGCAAGTTCTGAGAGCAGGGCTGGTTCCTGCCAAATCTCGCCAACCCCCCAGGAGTTCTGTAGGAGCAGGATGCAACCTCCCACCCTCATTAACAACCCCCTCTCTGTGCTCTTTACAAAGACAGTGCACCAGATACCATTCTAAATGGCAGCTGTGGGCTGAGCCCAGCTGTATGAACAGCCCTTAGTGACAGGCATGAAGGCTAGAGCCTGGGCACTTGCTACCTAGATCAGGAAACCCCCTTCATGTCTTGGGGACTTGATGGGGCTCAAGGCTTTCTTTAGTCTCTTGCTATAGAAATGTTCTTTGTTGGTCTCCTATCCTCTACCTACAAGCAGTGACCACAGGGGAGAGCTGCCCTTGACTCCTTTATCTCAGCACAGGCATAAATCACCTGTCTGGGGAGAAGGGGGGGCGGGAGGGGGGGCGTGCAATAAACCAGCTGAGCCTTACACTCTCACTGAACACACATGGTGCAAGGCAGCATCAGCTCAGAGGTGGCCTCTGACAGCCAGGAAGTAGAAGTGAGGGGCAATATGAAATTGCCTGTCCTGAGTGCAAGGCCAAGGGAAAAAGATGTGAACAAAGCATATGAACAGTGGGAAGGGAATTGGATTGTAAAACTGTTTGTAGTCTTAGAGGGCCCTGAGCAAGTTAGGAATGCAGAGCTGTCCTCACTTAGCCTGGAAGCCCTGAGTGCTGATCTTTATTGGACTTGGCATTCAAAAGTGAGCAATAGAGGGAAAGTAATATGTCTGATGGTCTGTGGCCCTGCTTTGTGATGGATAAGGAAGCAAAGGCATTTTCCTCCCCTGACTGCTTTTCTCTTAGCAGTATCAGGACTGCAGAGATTTTAAGACCAGAAGGGACCATAAGAGTGCCTTCTGTGAAATACAGGCCAGAGTAGTCTGCTGCCAGGGGGAGTTTCCTTGCATTCAGTGTATGGCATTATAGAGCTGGGTAACTTAGGCTTGAACCAGAGCTGTAGCTTTTAGCCATTTTGCATGGTCTCAGTTAGCAGTAAGGGTCATCATCCCACACCCAGTCTGTTACAATCCCTTTCATGAGAACTGTAATCCCTATGTCTCCTTAGGTGACATGTACATACATTTTGAGCTTTTTGCACCTGTACTTAAAGACAGGTGTGACAGGCTGTTGAATCCTTAATAAGCACAGTTTTGTTCCATAAGCATCTAGAAATTCAGACCAGCAACTGTAAGAGTCAGATTCAAATCTCCTCCCCCAATGAACCTTTCACTTCCTTGGTCCCTGTGATATCAGAACATTACCCATTATCCAGAGGCAAGCAGGTCACCAGGACCTAAATTCCCATAATAGGGTACATGACGGACCAGCCCCTCCCTGCAGCCTTCCTGAGCCATCGGACTAAATCACACGAGCCTACTGTTCTCACCCAGGCAAGGCTGCAGCAATGCCCACCAACTGTTCAGCCAAGCCTGGGCCCGTTGTGAATGTGCCCTGCTGTCCCTGAGACCAGGGCAGGCCCAGACTTCAGGCTTGGGGTATCTTATGATCTGATTCCAAACTCTGTAGGTCCTTGACATCTGCTCTCAACAACCAGCAAAACCTGGGCAAATAGCAGCAGACCAGGCTGTGTCTTCCAGTGCCAGATGGAAGCAAGTGCGCTGGCATTGCACCAGGGATGATAAGCTGCTGGGTGGTAGCTGTACACAGAACCACCCCACCTTGCCAAGATAACACCCTGCGATCTCCCAGCATCTTCCTGGGTGTGCCTCACAGTGGGGAAGCCCCAGGGTTTGACTCTGCTTTTCTTCCCTTCACTGCTAGAACCAGACCCAGGGTCAGGAGCTGGCCCCTTCACCACTAGCACCCCCAACTTCTACCGAGGCAAGCGCAGCGGACTGGCGGCCTACCGGATCATCTCCCGCCAGCTGTCCCAGAAGGGCCAGGATGAGAGGCAGTGAAGAGGCGTGGCCCTGGCCGGCGGAGCGCAAGAGGGAGCAATTGCCCCCAGCACCACGGCCTCTCTATGAGCCTGCCTCCCCCCATCCCTCCACGTCACTCTGGACTGTCACATGAGGAAGCACATGAGGGGCCATCCCAGGATCCCAAGCCAGCCCACGTGATTGGGGCCCCCCGGGGCTGCAGCCAGGGAGGGTGCTTGGGAGCCGATGGCAGCACCACTCTGTATTTATTTGTTTTTCATTTTTCAAGAGGCCTGTATCCAGCGTTATATGTGTATGAACGCGCCCCCATTCTGCTCATCCCGATGTCTTCAGAGCCCCGGCCCACTCCCGCACTCCCCTCCCTGTCCTGAAGGGGGGACTCGTGATCTTTGGTGCTAACCTCTGGGGCAGACGTCTCTAGATGACTCTGCACTTGGGGGATGACCTTGGTGCTTTGGCCTATAGTTTGTTGCTGCTTCCCTGTCTCCTGGGGCCAAGAGGAAGGCAATCCCATTCCCACCTTGTCCCTGAGTCCCTGGATGGTTTGCACTGCCCCTCCTCCAGGCCTCCTAGCTCTGCTTCTACTACGTTGGTGGCTAGGGGGATCGCTGCCTTGCTTCCACCCTCACCAGGCCCTAAGGCAGGGGTGGGTAAAATGCGGCCTGGGGGCTGGATGCAGCCCGCCAGGCCATTCTATCCGGCCCGCGGGCCCCCTACAAATTTAGAAAATTAATATTAATCTGCCCTGGGCTGCCTGTCATGTGGCCCACGATGGCTTGCCGAAACTCAGTGAACAGCCCTCTGCCCAAAATATTTGCCTGCTCTTGCCCTAAGGCAATCATTTCTCTCCCGTGAAGCCTAGTTTTTACTGGTGAGTGCAAGGTCAGGGCAGCTACACTGAACTTACCCCCTTTCCTGCCAGCCAGGGCCTGCCCATCTGGTTGGGACTCTGCAGCCCAGCAAGGCAATCTCTGATCACCACGGGTGGTCCAACCTGTCCCAGCAGGAGGCCAGCACTACCCACTGAAAACCAAAGCAGCAAGGCAATGCTGGAGTGGAGCTCAGCTGCCTGCCTGTCACTTTGGTGCTCCATGCCTCAGGCATGGGAGAACTGTGGGACTCTCCATGCCTTTGACTCTCCCAAGCTACATGGGTCCATGACTTTGACCCAGGCCCCAGGCCCCCTTGGCTGCCCCAGTCATGGAGGTATGATGGTGACAAACCATGCTGTGTCCTCTGCACTCTCTAACATACTGGCTCACACCTGCCACCACCTAAAGCTTTTGCCCAGTGCTCAAACTGCCATATCCCTTTCCTGCACTGTGGTGCAGCTTTGCTTCATCCAACCAGAGGCAGAGCAGGTGAAGGTCTAACATGACCGCCCATGAGGCAGCATCCCCAGCCCAAGTTGAAGGATCTCCCATCTAGGAGTGAAAGCATCACCAAGGGGGTAGTTGCCTGGCTGGAAAGGGGCACAAGGGGTCTTGGCTCCCTTCCTGTCCTGCCTCATTGATGGATAAGGGAACTTCACCTCTGCATCCAGCATCTGGAGAGCAGGGCAAGGAAGAAGGTGGAAGGGGGGCACAACCCCATCCACAGTCCAACCCCACTTCCAACTCCCAGCACCACCCCACAGGCCCTCAACACTGCTCACTGATCCAGCTGGCTGTAGAAGGGAAGCAGGGCTTGCAACAAACAGAGGAGCCAGGAGTAGGGGCAGCTCCAGTTATTAATGGGCTGGTCCATACAAATCTGACAGCCAGTAATGCCTGCTACCGCTCCCCTCCCCCTGCCCAACCTCGTGAACAAAGGAGCCGAGTGCACAAGCAGCTGGGGAGAGCCCCTGCTATTGTATCACATATGCTTGTAACCCTGGCCACTCTGGGAACCAGTCATGTATTATGGTCATTAAAACATCTCACTGATGCCTGCTAGCCCAGGGGTCTGTTTGCATTCACACAGAGTAGAGCTGAGAGCCAGGGGTGGGAAGCCAGGAGCTCTGAGCACCTTGCAACCCAGGGGAGTCAAACTCACCCCATGCTCCAGGCCAGATCCAGACTGCAGGGCTCATTGCAAGCCAGTCTGCAAATGAAAAAAAGGTCGAAAACCACTGATCCAGAGAGTCTTGCTCTCTCACTTGCTTCCCCTCCCCCTGCCAGACACAAGCCACCGCCAATGCTCTCCAGCATGCAGCAGGCCAGTATATTGCAAAGGATCAATCCATCAGCACTTAGAGAAGATGTGCCAGCTCAGGGAGGACACTGGCAGAGCCTGAAGGAGCATGATAAGAAACAACCAGAGCAAGCAAGCTCTTTGGAGCTTGTGGAAACTTTATTGCTCCTAGAAATAGCAGTGAGGTTTAGCTGGATGGCTCCACAGATTGGCTTGACATGGGTGGAGTTCCCATCACATCCAAGTAAGTGCCCTGAGACAGGGTTTGCTGACTCAGACCCAGGAATGTCACTCCAGATGGGGGTGGCTTGAAGACTCCACAGAGTAAAGGCACCCTGGACCATGGAACCAGGGGGATGCTTTCCCTCAGCTCGCCCTCCCCACATGTTGCCTAGGCATGGTGCCAGCTTGTGGCAGCTGCGGTTACAGAGGTTTTGGATTCTCAGAACTTTGGGTTATATTTCACTGTGGGACTTCCAGGAACAATAAGACAGCAGCTGTGGGGCCACACATGGCAATTTAAACCACACATGATCACGCACGGTAGGTGAGACTTTGGAGAACCCATGCATAGATCTCACCTGTGTTCCAGCCTCCCTTACAAATGGCACCAGGATGAAAGCAATATCTATGTGGTCTCACAACTCTGGTGTTCAGCTCTGCCCTTCACCCTCTTGCCTCAAAATGCATCTACATTTCACTCTAGTGAATCACTGGTTAGCAAATACATTTTCCCTGCTCACATGGCCTTTCTTGAACACTTGCTCCAGGAGCTGAGCCCTGGATCTGGCTTGGAACAAGTTACAGGAACATCCAAACATGCCTCAGCCAGCATGTGCTCACTTGGGTCAATGGGCAATCAAATTCTAGCATCACTTAACAAGGCCCAGTGAGGAAGGTGTATGACAGAAAACAAGAGGATGGAGCATGGAGGGACAGTGGGGAGAGGAGGCAAGGGGCTGCTGAAAGACCCCACCGTATGGTGACACCCTGACACAATCTGAGTAGTGTCTCAGCCTTGCAATCGATCTGCCACTCAGTGCCCTGACACTGACGCCCTGCCACATCCCTCCCCACCATGCAAGCTCATGCTTCCCATCCTCTCACTGAGCTATGCCCCACTGAGGTCTGCAAATGACCCTTCCAGAGGTCCATGGTTTGGAGTGGAGGGGTCCTTATAGCAAAGGGGTCAGTGCTTCCACTCATGGGCTCTGCCTCCCTCCTTCCCCCCATTCTCAGTGATCTGTAACCCCATTGCCTCTCATTGGTAACATTTCATTCTGTCACTTGTGACCCTTATTCCATGGTGTGATGGTGAGCTGTGGGTTGCAGAGGCTCATGGTGAGCCAGCCTGTTCTCTGACATCACCGTGGCCTCATCCCCAACTTGGCCTCCAACAAGTAGTGAGACAGCCCCTTCCACGCGGCCCGTGGCTGCCAGTGCCACCACTGCCTCCTCCGTCTGGAAGCCCATTCTCTCCAGCTGCTGCAGCCTGGGGCAAGAAGGGGTGAGAGGGAGAGGGGGGTCAGCATGGGAGTCCTTGTGAGAGTTTCCACCCCAGGAGAGGCTGGTTGACTTGGACAGGCCTTGGGTTTGCGGTGAGATGCCCAGACTGCCCACAGAACCTGCCCATGCCAGCTAGACATACAAGGGAACAGGCAGCAGACCCTTGCCCTTCATGTACTTTATGGGCTGTATTTCCCCATGTGCTATGCCACTCTGTCAGTCACAAGGTAAGGACCAAGGACAGGCTGGCAACAGAAGAGTTTCACTCTCCATCTCTTTAATAGTGGGGAGCCATGGGGTATGAACAAGCCATGGTGTGCCCCTTAGCCATGTACAGCTAGGAGGGAGTAGGTGGCCCAGGCAACCCACGCCATGTGCTCAAGACCAATGAGGAAACCACAGACCAGGCCCACCCTCCCCCCTGGGGTCCGGCTTAGAAGCCGTATAAATAAAGCGTCACCTGTCACCGGGGGATGCCTCCCCTCCATCTTTGTCCCTTCAGACCCATCCCCTTACCGGAGGGAGGAGACGGAGGATTTGGAAAGCTTCACTTCACCCATGGCAGCCTCGAGGCCGGTGTCTTGCAGGGAGGCCTGGATCCCGGCCTGCAGCATCTGTTCATCCAGCAGAGCCTCTCCCACTGATGCCTGGGGATGCTGGATGGGGACAACCCATGGGGGAGGCAACCTGTAGAGGTCTAGGAAGTGAGACAAGGGGACAGAGGTATGCAGCAGCCTGGAGTCCTGCCAGACCCTGGGCCATTCAGTAGCCCGAGGAGGACCAGGGGCTGCAGTTGACTGATCCAAAGGGCTCCCTGGGTAAAGCTGCCAGGCTGGGGAGACAGAGGGTCCTGGAGAGCTGAAAGTCAAAAGAGAAAAAAGAGGGTCTTATAGGGGAGTTCAAGCAAATTGGGGCAGCCCACAGAGAAGGGAGGTAGGATAGGTGTGGCGTGGTCCCACCCACAAAGTGCACCCCTAGCTCTAAAGGGCAGGAGATGGGGATCTGACCATCTAACTGGGGTGGAGCAGGTGCAGTGTGGGACATGTAGCAGCCAGACCCTACGGCACTGAACCAAGAGACCCCCCATGCCTGGGAGCTCAGGTTCCCAGTCAATCCCCCACCCCTTCCTGCCCACCAGGGCCCCCACTGCCCAGCTAGGCAAGTTTCTTGCCATTCAGTCCCAGGTTAGAGGGGCTGCTAGTGAGTGAACCCAAGGCCAGTCTTCCCCGCCAGCCAGCCTGGGGAACAGGAGAACTGACATAATACTCCATGGTACTCTGGGGCAAGCCCACGGAGTAACTTACCACCAGATACCACAGTAACCACGGGGCACCAGGCCAGGCTGGGGCAGGGGGAAGAGACCTGGGTTGTGAGCAGACAGCCTCTCCCTGGGAGCAGGGTGAATCCCAACCAGTGCTGGGCTGCCTCCCTTACCTGTCTCTGCTGCTGCCCAAGTTGCTCATGGGAAGGATCCCCTGACCTGGGGACAGGATGAAGCGGATGAAGCCCCTTCGTGCCAGAACCCGGCAAACCACAGCATCCTGCAGTGCTTCCAGGTGCCTCTCTGACAGCTCCAGGCGTGAGAAGGCTCCAGACCAATCTGCCAGTAGTTCCTTGGGTCAAGGAAAATGCCCCCTGCCTGACCGACCCAGGGCCAGGATTCCCTAATTTTATGGCTAGTCAGGAGCCAGCTAACCCCAGGGCCAGGCCAGAAGTACCTCAGTGTTCCCTGCTGCTGTGCTCATCTTCAATGCAGGGGGCCAAGCACTTTACCCTGCCATCGGGCATTCAGGTCCCAGCATGCATCATACTACCACAATACACAAAGAGATCTGCAGTCTCTGCAGGACACACTTCTGCCACTGAGGACCTGCTCCCACTTCAGCTGAGTGAGAGGAAGCCCTCAGGTTCTTAATAACAGTACTTGGGGTCTCCAGAGCACAAGGCAGGGGAAAGCCCCCAAAGGATTTGGATAGGGGAATGCTGAAGCCATGCACTGGGCACCAGGCACTCCACTCTAACAAGTGGCCCTTGGGGTAATGATGACAAAGGGCAGAAGCTCTGGCCAGATCACCAAGAACCTAGGAGCTGCCAGGCATATATTGCTCCCTTTATCAATACCAAAGTACCACCAGTGCCAACTTCCCAACCCCCAGCAGGCCTCACCTCACCTGCCCTGGAAGGAGGAGGCTCACTGTGGTCATGGTGGTTCCTATGCAGTGGATCACTTGGCCACTAGAGTTGAACTGAGACTCAACAAGCTCCTGTCACCCAGACCACTAAAACGCCATGGGATGGTCAGGGCTTGCAGTCACTGCCAGCCTGAGCAGCTCCAAGACCACTCAGAGAGGTCCCTTCTCTAGAGCTGGACAAATCATCAACTCTGTGACTCCAGGTCAGAGGCCCCCAACCTCCACCGGCCCACGGGTAACAACACTGAGCAAATTACTTGCTCTCTCTGCCAATGCCAGTTTTCACTGTAATTTTCTGGGCTACAAGAAGCCTGTTGCTTACTAGCTTCTGGCTGGACACCACCACACTGGGGGTTTCCTTCAGAGGTGTCTGTTTTCTCCAGTAGTTGCATTCCAAAGAAGAGAAGAAAGAGCCAAATTGTGGCTGAATTTACCAGCACAGATCCTCATCAACTCCAGCAGAGCCAGACCTGCCTCAAGCCTGGAGGAAGATGGCCCCAAGTTTCTTGTCCTCCTCACTGAAGATTCCTGAAGGCAGCCAGTGCTGTCTACAGCCACGAGCCTGGAGGGAGAGGGCAGAGGCCTGCTTTGCCTTTGTTGCCCCTGGCCACTCTCCTGCTGCCCCCATGGCAGGTAGATTGCAGCCTCTTGGCAAACCCCAAGATGCCTGGTCACTGTGAGGGACACTGCTTCTCTGCTGCATCCTGATTATATCTAACATCCTAATTCACTCCCCTGCTGACTTTGTCCCACAGGCTATTGTGTGGGCTACCTCTGCTAAAACCACAAATCTGGTAGGGGAGGGGACCCACGAAGCCTCATCTAGTAATGGCCAGGCAGGATTTTTCCCTGAGGCTGGAATCACAGGCCTCGTTTCCTTCCCTCACAAACTCACCCCAGAAGCCAACAGGTCCCACTGGCTCATAGGACATCCTATGAGACCTGCACCCTTGCCCCCACCGCTGCTTCAGGGTCCTATCAGTAGCAGGAGTGAGCGGATGCCATGAACTCCCTAACCATAAGACACAGGATACAGGCCAGCCCCACCACAGCACCACTCAGGTGCAGAAGCCATGGTGATCCAGGGAGAAGAAGCTGGCTTACCACCAGAAGCAGCAAAGGCAGTGCCGCCATAGCCACCTGTCCCCAGCCCCTCACTCGTGTCCTCCATGCCTGGTGTCGCCCCAGCATGGCCAGGTGGACTGGAGTGTAACTGCAGGCAGGGCCTGGGTGAGCTGCCCAGAGTCCCACCAGGATGAGGTAGACCAGGGCAGAGGCGAAGGCACTGAGCAGGGCAGCATGGAGGTAGCGCAGGGTGCCCTGGTACCGCTCCTGAGGCCAGGCCAGCAGTGGAAAGAGTAGGAGGTTGAGGAGTAGGAGGGACGGGTCTGTGTGGCACAGGCAGTAGGTCACCAGGCGATACACTGGGGAAGAAAGCAAAGGGTGGCATGTTAACACAGGCATCCAGGCACCCTCCAGCTCACAGCATTCACTGTTAGCAACTGTGACCTAGAGCTGAGCCAACCAGTTCTGTCCCGTTCCCTGTCCCCCAAGAACAGCATGTGATACCAGGTGCAAAGCCCCTTATAGCCTATCCCAGGCCATTTCCTAAGCATGTGCATACTAGGAGGATGTGTTTCTACCTCCTGTCATCTGACAGGGAGCTCACAGTCTTCCTAACCCTTGGCCTCCCTGTTGAGGCTGCTCACACAGGGCCAAGTAAAATAGTGGCACGGCTATTAGGAATGGGAATGAGGCCATGGACCAGGAAGCATCCACCTAGTTGGAAGGCCACCACAGTGAGCCTAGAAAGCTCAGGTAGAGGAGAAAGGAGCAGGGAGAACTCGACACCCCTGGCAACAAAGCTTCCCACCCCATCCTGTTCTCCATCCGCTTGTCTCATTCACCCCAATCTCTCCCCAGTACAACTCTCCAGTCCCTCACAATCTCCTCTCTTCCCCGTAGGATTCTCATTCTGATCTTCCTCAGCCAGTTGCCAGGGATAGGTTAAGTGTCCAGGCTGATCAAGATCTGGAGCTCTGGATCCAGGCTAGGCTATGACAGAGAGGAGAGGTGGGGGAGGAGGAGGAAGCCAGAGCTGGCAGGTACCCACCTTGGAAGTGTTGGAGCAGCAGGGCTGGTTTCAGGGAGAGACTCTCGCAAACCCCCGCCAGCCACAAGAAGCAGAGAAGCAGCATTAAGGTAACAGAGGCAAAAGGTGGGGGCTCCAGCCCCCACCTCAATGAAAGGGGTCTTCTGATCAGCATCACATTGATGGAGCAGAGACATTTATGCCATGGTCATCCTTGGAGAGATTCTGGGCTTCAGAGGCCTCTGTAAGGCAAGCAGAGCAGTCCCAGGCTTCGGAGATCTCAGCACTCTGGGATCAGCTGTGAGGAGAAGGAGGGAATTCATCCCCTAACACCCAAACCAGTGCAGCAAGGGGGCCTACACCAGGCCTCTGCCCAGTGAGATGAGGTTGGTCCCTGCCAGGCTGTACCCCAGGGTTCAATACACAGAGGGGCAGAGGGGCCTGCCTGCACCTGGTCCCCTGCAGCCCAAAACACCTGGAAGCAGGGAACCTCAGCCCTGCCAGGCCGCCCCCTGGCTCTGCGCAGGCTGCTCTGTACCAAGAGACTGCACCTTCTCAGCCCTTTGCTCCAGCACATGACCCTGGCATGCAGTACCTATTTCCAAGGTCCCAGAAATTTGATCCCAGGTCCTGATCAGTGGGGGAATTACAGGCAGGCTGCATGTGCCCCGAAGCCCCGTGCCATTCTGTATGGAGCGGAGGGGCAGGATCACCACCCCTGCTCCTGCCATATCCCTAGAGCCAGGACTGGCAGTGGGCTGGCATCAGCTCAGGGCAGTGCCCGGAGGCACTTGGAGCTGTGAGACGGAAAGCTCAGACAAAAGTCACTGCTGCTAGCAAGTGGTGACCACAGGACAGCCCTGTCACAGGCAGCTCAGCCTCACCCTCCTGCCCCCGCCAGACGCTGACACTAGCAGGGCACTGGCTGCCTTGGAGCCTTGCCTCTCGTGCAAACCGTGCAGCTGGGGGGCCGCTCGCCTCATCACCTGCGCCAGCGGTGCAACCAGACCCTCCCAGGGGTCTCTCCTTCCCTTGGGCCTGATTCATCCCATCTCCTGGAGGCGATGAAAGGGGCCAGGCTCAGCCCCAAGAGCCTGCAGGCCAATGCATGCAGGTACCCAGGGGCACAAAGGTGCTCGCCCCTGGGGGCAGCAGGTGCCACGTCCCTGTACCCGGGGAGGTGCTGCAAGCCCCAATTCCCTCCGCAGCTGCAAGCCCTGAGCTCCCCTTCCCCTGCCAGCTCCCCCCTGCACGGCTCATGCCTCCCCCCCGGGCAGCGCCAGGCTGCAGGGGCCAGCCTCGGCAGGGAAACCTGTCCTGTTACCGATGGGCTCCGGGCTGCAGGGACCAGGCTCAGCCATGTCACCGGCTCTCACCGCAGCCAGGGAACGTCACCAAAGTGGCAGCTCCGTGGTGGCAGGAGGCCCTGGCTGCAGCTCCGGAGGGAAGTGTTCAAACCCTGCTCCTCTCGTGGGAGGGAGGCAGAACCTGACACTCCCAGGCCCGGGGTGCCCAAGCGTGGGGGCAGGCGGGGCTCCTGCATCCCCCGGGCACTGGTGCTGCCCACGAGCCAGGAGTTCGTCGGGCTGTACGCCTGGCCTGATCCAGCCCGGCAAGGCCTCTGCTGCATGTGTGTACGGTCAGTGCAAATGAGGCACTTGCTGGAAGGGGGTGCTGTGAAATAAAGCACAGACCCTGTCCCATGGTGATCTGCCGGGCGCGTGCTCAGGGGCCGGGCAGGCAGAGGGAATCCGTCCCCAGGATTTGCTGGCAGCAGTGGGTGCTCGCAGACCCTCACCACACAGCTCCTCCCACCTGTCTCCCCTCTGGCAGCACCCCTCACACTCAAGAGTCCCAGTCGGGTGCCCTGGCCAGGTGGGGTCCCTTCTGGTTTAGCAACATTTTGCTCTGTCTTTGCACTAGGGCAAATAACACGAGGGGCCTGGCAGTGAGGGATCAGATCAGCCCCTCAGTGCAGCACAACTCCATCTGGCAATCCCCCTCCTTGAGCAGTCATTCCTCTAGCACTAGGGTAGGGGCAGACATGAGGCTGCAGTGTCCACTCCCAAGTCTTGCCCAAGGTCAGATGAAGTCATTCCCCCCCGCAATCTTGAGTGACTTGTCCCCACCACAGCCACAGGACAGGACAAGAGAGCTCTGCAGATGCTACTCCAAGTTCCCATTGAATCCAGTGGAGTCACACCAGCTCTATCTTCATGGACACATCAGTAGCAATCCTAAAAGTTGAGGAGGAGAAAACGGAATGTTTTATGTGGCATTGTCTCTCAGTAGGACACCTTCTAGAGTTATCCTGGCCAACCTATAAGGAACCCAGGCATGGAAACTACATTCAAGAAACCCTTACAAATTGCAGTCTCTCACTGATGATTGCAAGATCTTTGCCCTCAGATCCTCAGAGGATTCTAAAGATAGCAGGAGCACAGATTTGAACTGGTCTATGTATAGGATGATTGCGAAGCTGAGCAGACTCAGCATTGAGGCAGGATACCCATAGGTAAACCAAAATATGAAGAGACTGTAGCAGGCTGGTAGCATCAAGAAGGTTGAAATTCGCTGGTGGTTTATCTGTCTTCTGCCCGCTTTAGGACCCTGGTTTGTACAATGCTGGTCGCTCCTGGGATTGGAGTCAGAGTGCTCAGCTCTTTCAAAATTAATATTACTATGCTTAACAAATACACATTCCTGAGAAACAATAAATGCACACCCTGTCACTGCATCTGGCTCCCTGAGTCTGAGGATCTCCAAACACTCTCAAGGTGCACAGGTGTTACTGTTCCCTTTTGATCGACAGGCACACTGAGGCATGGAGTGGTTAAGGCCAATATTTGCAATCACATGTTAATTTTGCATGCCTCAGAGTTTGTTTGGTTGCTCAATTTGAAACACCTAGAGCCTACAAACCAGTGGTAACAGAGTGCTATTCAAGTCAATGGGAGCTCTCAGCTCCATGCCTCTGAAATCAAGCTGTTGGGGTCACATAGCAGTGACCCTGTAGCTGGTGGTGCTTTCTGAAAGTGCTGACTTTAGGAGGTAGCTGGGGAGAAAATACATAGCACAGAATACAAACATACTGATTTAGCTGCAAGCCCTCTCTTCAAAACACTGGACTATGCTTCTTCTTTTGCTACTTGCCTGATTCTGAGAACTGGGTTTTATATATTATTATTGTATCAAGTAGTAAAAAACACCAATCAATAGCTTTACTGAAATCAGCATTTAGGATGGGGAGCCCAGGAGGGGCTAATGGCCCAATGATTAAAGGTCTTTAGTTGAGAGGAAGGGTTTTTTGCTGTTGGGCCAGCAATTAGCAGCCACTCATGGTTGGCTCCTATTCCAGTCAGAACTCTTATCCCTGAGTCCAGGTTATCAAAGGTACTTAGGCCTGGATTTTTCGTGATATGTTTTACTGGATTAACTATAGTGATTGATCTGGGAGAGCTGGCCCAGAGGAGCAGTCGGGCAAACATTTGGGAATCCAGTGCCCTTCCTTGGGTCTAGGAGGAGGTAGATACAGGCTGAGCCAAGCAGCAGAGAGAAGACTCTATGTAAATGCAAACAGTCTACTTGGAGGGATGAAGGACGGTTGTGGAGGACTAGGAATGAGGAGATATGTAGGCATCTGAAGATGCAGGTGAGCACCTAGAGAGATTTTTTCCAAAATTTCTAAATCAGGTGCCTATGTCCTATTAGGAGGGTGGTCCCACTATAAATGTATTGCTGTAGTGAAAGGAATGCATGGGGGGGGGGGTTGCTCACTATTTTAGCAAGGCTCTTTATGAGCTTGGGTGGGGAAAGGAATACAGCCTCACTAGGATCTTGACCTCCAGGCTGCTTAGCTGAACTTTTGTGATTCCCCCCCCTATGAGCTTTAATGCTTTGTTCAAGGCAATGGCAGAGTAGTCCAGGTTGTTTGTGGCAAAGGTATGAGTTCAAGGCTTGCTCTAAGCTGGTGCTCCCAGTTGCTGCAGCCTGGTGGTTTTGGTTGAGCAGTCAAAGTGGGTTGGACATGAAGTTTATGATGTTGCTGCCTTGTGTGCCTACACCATGCTAACCCAGCTGGCCACCTGGACTCAGTATCTTTGATTAGCTTGTTCAATGCATGAGCAGGAGTCACCAACTTATTGTAAACAAAGATCATCCAAAGCTTGTGGTCATTTGTTTCTTTTCCAGTCAGCCAAGGAATAACTTTTGGTGGAGTCCAAGACTTCCCTGAATGGAGAGAAGTGGAAATGTAATATTATACATTGGTCTTATTTCAAACTGAGCAGCTCTGGGAATCAGTATGAATGTGGAAATACTTAATTATTTGCTTTGTAGTAGCTGTGGAAGCCCCTTACTTAAAGTGGGTGGGAAGAAACTCCAGTGTGCTTGCATTTCTACTAGCAAGTATAGGAGTTAGGGTGGCCATCCTAGAGGACATTCTGTTTTTCTGCTACTCTGTCCTCTATTGATATGAAACTGGATGCCTTTATGTCCTCTATTTTTCTCTTCAAGGGAAAAATAGAGGACATAAAGGCATCTGGTTTCCTATCAATAGAGGACAGAGGACAACCAGACAGTCCTCAATGATGGCCACCTTAATAGGAGTACAAGGGTATTCTAGGTCTTGCTGTCCCAGGCCTCTCCCCAGTTTCTGCCAGGGGCTCACAGGGTCCACACGGGAAAGAGAGCATTGTGCCAATGCCAACCTCTATCTGCCAGCCAGGGCCCATCCTCCCAAGCTCTAGAAATGAGATGCAGTGAGTTCACAGCTGCTTGGTTTGTGGCCCACTGTGTACAAGCTATTTCCAAGTATTTAAATTAGCTTTTTGAATAATTTGCATGCGATTTGTGCATGCTCATAATATAACCTTTACCTTGAGCAGTACCCAGAGGTTTAGTATATGGAGCTGCACAGAACTTGGCAGTGGCAGCAGTTGTCAGAGGGGTTGGCTGGGGGAAGTTGTGTTGTGGAGGCAAGAGGGAAAGGAGCTGGGTTTCTTTGGCTGCCTCAGGAGAGCAAACTGAGGGTAGAGGTCAAGGAAACAGAGGAAGGCAAGGTTTGCAGTGGCTGCCGGGAAAAGTTGAGTGAGCCATGTTTGTGAAGATGTTTGGGGAGAGCTGGATAGCTTGGGGGAAAAGCCAGAGACCAGCGTGGAGAAGGGGGTAGGGTAAAAGGACTTTGGGGTACCTTGGGAATCTGTGGGAGAACAGAAGGCTAGGAGGGGTGGGTGGATGTGTCTGCAAGGAGGAGGCCAGCAGTCTGCTCAGTAAAGAAGCCTGAGGTTGGTACTGAGCACCCCCACTCTCCTATCCTTGGATCTGTAGGACTGCTCCTTCCCTGCTCAGTTCTAGCAGCGAAGTAGTGAGCTGCAATTACATTTAAACTACAATCATTGGACCTCTAAGACAAATCTTCACTGAGGTGACTGGAGCCATTTGCACTACTCCACCCTTTCAGGCCCTTGACAGACTTGAGGAAGAATCACTGTTTCAGGGACCAGGCATCACTTTGAAGTTTTTTTATAGACACAAGGGACAGAGACTTCCTTGGTGGAAGCTGAGATCCTATAGAGTATAAGAGGGCAGTTCAGGGAAAGCAGGAATTAAGCCCATATTCAGGTATGACCCCAGTTCAATTTCTGACGCATGTTATTGCTGTCACACACACAGCTGTATGAAACTGGGGGAAGAATTACTGATGAATACAAGTGCAAACAAAGTCATGAAAGGCTCCTTGCTTAACTAGACTGTGTGCATGTTGGGAGGGGGCAAGGGGGTGGAAGCGGAGTGGATATGAAGCAGAAAGCTACGGCAGTGATTTTTGGATCAGCTCCCATGGTATCCATCTGAAGTAACTGAGCATGTTATGCCAGTCTAAGGAGTATCTTCCACGTTTCATGGGTGTTGGTTGTAGCCATGATGGTCTCGGGACATAGGCAGACAAGGTTCTTTGGGTAAATATGATATCTTTTATTAGACCAACTAAATAGTTGGTAAAATTATTCTTTGCATCTTTCAGGTACAAACACCTGACTCTCCCTCTGCCTGAAGAAGGGTGTTTGTATCCAAAGCTTGCAAAGAACATTTTTTCCAACTATTTAGTTGCTCTAATAAGATATCACATTTACCCAAAGAACTTTGTCAGTCTAAAGAGTAGATGCTTCAAACCAGAGCAGAGACAAGAACTTCCAGTCCGATGTTGTGACCACTAGGGAACAAACTTATACTGGCAGGTAGATGGACTTAGGCCAGGTCTGCACTAAAGATGGGCCACCATAGCATGTTGGCTTACAACAGCCAATACTATTATGTCATTGGAGAGCGCACACACTTGAGTGCCCAGGTTGGTGCCGTGTCTTCAGCCTTTGGGTTGTGTTGGCTATTGCCAAACTGCACCAAAGGTAGGTATCCCAGTGGTACCACCTTCCAATGAAATGCAGTGCAGGGCACTTTTGCAGTGCATTGTGGGGATGGTGGTGCAGTACCCAGGCAATGGTAGTTACTCAGGGTCAGTGAC